CCATATGGAAAAACACATGGAATTACTAATTGGAAAAAGAAAAAATTTCTATCATCTAGAAATAACTGCAAAATACCATAATAAGTTATTTGCAGTTAGCAATTTGTCTTACCATCGGGATGATAACTCTAAAACAAGGGGGTTCAGCTGATTTTACTTCTATATAAAAAAATTTAATTTTTCTATTTTTTTTTTTATTCCTGAAATATAACTTGAATCCCCTTGTTTTGGAGTTATTATCCTGATGGGTACACTAATTGTTCACAGGAAATGACGCATTACAGTATTCTGCAGTTATTTCTAGATGACAAAATTTTTTTCCTTCTCCCAATTTGTAATTCTATGTGTTTTTTTAAATGGAATTACATATGGCATTACCAAGCTAAAACCCTTTATGTAATGCCATACGTAAAACCGTATGTAATGCCACATGGCTTTCCTGAAGGTATTACAGAAGTGATCACACATGGAATTCCGTCTTTCTTTTTCAGGTGGGTACATCTGTATGGATGTATACATACATACAAGTATTTGACTAAACTACCTAGGAGTCTTAAATGGTGGCTGACTATTCAGCAGCGGTCCCAGCGGTGTCTTCTCACTCCTTCGAAGCTCACTAGTGTAGTGCTAGAAGGCCAAGAGTTGTGGGCTGAGGGCTGAGGGGCTGTGCTGAGGCCTTAAGGCTAAAAGGTAGTCAAAAACCTAAACCGGCCGCTACTTTCACTAAATTTGGGGAACATAATGATTCGTAAGGGTCCAAAATATTTTTGACATGTTCCATTCAGGTAAAGAGTAATGTGGCAATTATAGTTGTGATATTTAGTTAATTGTATAAGCCAGCCGCATCTATAAACAATCCCAGAAATTATCTAATGGTCAGTGGGAAGTGCATAGTGCAACAAGATTACAATTTATTTTCTACCTGAAAATCAACTTCCGAAAATATAGATATTCTATATAACTGTATCCATAATCTTAAATCTATTTTCTTATTTACGATCTTAGATGAATATTATAGATAAGATCAGTGTTAAATGAGCGTTATATGATTGGTCATATTATTCAGCCTCTTTTGAATTCGAAAATGTCATAACTTTGATTTTTGATACAAATTATTGTAAAAAAACTAACTGGCAAAGTTTTAGATTAGTTTAACATTTTTACAGGAGGTCCATTACTATCTGAAGATCGATTTTTTGGGTAGAAGATAAAGTATAACACTGCCGCAAATGGTTCTCTGAGGTAATTACTTATTATTTATATTCATTGGTTAAAATTGCGGCTAGTTTATAAAATAGATTATACTGCACTTCTATAATTACCACGTAACTTTTTACCAGAATAAAACATGACAAAAATAATTAGGATATTTACGAATTTTCAGATTACTTGATTCTGGTGAGAGTGGCGGCTGGTTTAAATTTTCGACCACTTTTGGGCTTAAAATCTTGGTCTACAGTAGTACAGTTTTAGACTGCAGCCGTGTAATGAGTCACTAGCCTCCGCCATTTCTGGGTGTTCTTTGGCTCCAATTGCATACTTCTTGAAACAATTTTACCTTATCTGAGGGTTAAAAAATTTAAAAACATTGAAGCCTATTAATCCTCTGACGTAGAACGAGGGAAGCATCGCTCAGTTTTAAACTGTTCTGGCTACAACAATGTCCACCCGAAGTAGACAAAATCAAAATTTCATTGGCGGTAAGTCGTTACTAGTAATCGCTGTAGAAGTTGATTGAACCACATCATTTGCCGCAACTTTGGTTTATTTTTTGTGTTCGTTTAGTTTTTGTGTTAAGACATCAATTGCCACAATAGTTTTTTGCTAAAACTTGTCACAAAGTGAGGGTCGTACGTGATGCGTCGAAATTTGCGTTTCGAAACTGCAGTCTCTCCGAAATCAATACTTGCGCTGCGGCAAAATGGCGTCGCGTCCCCTTTCTGCTTTCGTCATAAGACTTCGGCCATACTTTAACACTTAATACTTACACATCGTTAAAGGTGCACAACATTCCCTTCCTCACCCAAGTTCAGCTGCAAAGATGGGTTCCTTGTAAACAATTATTAGTCGAGGCTTTATGTTACTTTGGAAGTATTTGAGGTTCTTGACTTGTTCTCTATGTTGTTAAGTCATGTTAGCTTGCGGTTAACCTTGTGTGTTGCTTAATTCATCAAACACGTCTCGTGCTTTGATTATATTCTGGTAAGAAGTACTAAACTATTTAATTACTATAAAATGTTAGGTGTAAGTACTCAAGGAGTATCATATCCAAGAACGGACTGTACAGTGACACACTTGTATTGTACTCTGGCACCTTTGATGTTTAAGTTTGCCCCTGAACACAATGTTTTACCTGTATATCATCTAAAACATTAATCTTATTACAATTATCAATATCTAACATAATTTTCTATCAGAACTTCTAATAAACCAATGTAAAACTTTTTTTTGTTCATGCTTTAAGTATGAAATAATTTTTTTGTGTAATTATGCAGGCACTCCTCAACGCAATCAGTTTGGTGGTCAACAATATCAGGGACCAAATGTAAGTTTTTTTTAGTGATACTGTAATAATTCCCATTATTTTCGATACAATAATTAGTTAATGTCGTTTGAATAATTTGTATTTATTAGGTTTTCAATAAATTATTTATAAATAACTGGTATTGTTGCTAAGGGTGTGTTGAGTTGTCCGGAATCAATATTAAAATGTAACTTCATTCTATAATTTAAGATCAAACATATTATTCTTGTATGTATACTACATTTTACACTGTACAGACTTTCTCTTGAGTAATTTGCTAGTGAAGAGGTGAAGTTTGACTTTTTGTAAAAGAAACCTAAAAAATGAAATATATACTATTCTTATCAGCAGAATTGTACATAACTTATCTACTAAGCCAAAGTATAAAATAGTTCATTTCTCATATCTTTTAGGCTCTACCATCCAATGCAAGAAAGTTTAACTGATGGCAATGCCCTATTAATTAAATTAAATTAATTGTCCAACACTATACATACGGACGATGTATCATAAATTTTACTAGTTGAAAACTATCAAAAGCATGATAAATTAATTTTTTCTGAATCCAACACACTTTCCCTTGACAATATGGTGTAATAAACTAAGAGTTGAGCCTTAGGTATGTTAAAAAAAAAGTTACTACCGCCACTCACGGAAGTTGAGAATTGTAATAATTTGAGGAGAACTAAAGTATTTTCTTGATCTCTTCTCTTGAACGATATTACTGCTGAAACCTAGTATAATGGATAGAGAATAACCAGTGGACAGTAAGTGCTTGGGTACCCAAGTATGAAGTTATATTTCTATGACAGACAATATATTAATGAAAATATACCTTCTATCAAACGATATTTCAAGTAACCCACTGTGATGTGTTGAAGGTAATGCAATTACCATTTCAATTACGATATTCGGTAATTATCTGTGGTTTTAACAAATGTTAATTGTTAGGTTGTATATTAAAATTAAAAACGAAACAGAAAAATATTCGTAAATGTAAATTAAATCGAACAACACAATTAAATTGCTCTTAGTGCGTCCAACATACCTAATAACACTAAAAAAAACTAAACAATATATCTGCCGTCCCGGGGAAGAACGTCGTTTACTGACATTTTGCTAAAAAATGAGTTTTTTTTATATCAATCAATTTGTACAGTAATATCCCATCTAACTGTGTTTGTAAAAATCATGGACGATTTTTCAATTATTTGTAATAATATATTGAATGTTACTAAAGTCAGAAAAAATTTGTTCTGACATCGAAAAAAAAGTGTAAGTGACATAAAATTAAGAATTCGCATCGGCAAGAAAGCGTTAGTGTACCTAATGCCTTTTAAGGTGGCTCTTTCATGAAATGATTATGAACAGAATGGCATGAAATCTTGAGGGATCATTTATTGAGTTACAATACACTGTCCCTCAAAATTTCAGAGTAGGCTGACGAACATAAACGCAAGAAAATGATAAGTGAAAATTTAATTCTAAACATGTGCTCTTATGGCAACTACTGATTTTTTTACTGAAAGTTGTAGTCTAGTGATTTATTCACTGAACGTAATCAAGTAAAAAACTGACAATAAAGCTTATGCAATCCCAAATATACTGCTATCTCAAAATATATGTGATCACGGACTTGACCAAAGGATATTAAAAAAAACACAGGCATACATTTTCGTTTCCTATGTTGAAAGCATAGGTAAACATCCACGGCTGGTATTTTGAGGATAAGCGCGAATTTTAGATAATCATTCCTACGAACTTTTATATCGTATATTATGATCTAAGATTTTAAATCAGAACTTAATTTGCGTCAATAAACTGTATTAACTAATAGTCGTTTAAAATTTAAGCAGTGTTAATAAATATCAACTAGACAGCCGCACCTTTGACTCGAGAGTCATGAAAGAACCACCTTAACTCTGTGAAGTCAACGAGAAAGCGCATAGATTCCAAAATAAAAAGTCGTTATGTACTTAAGGAGATTTTTGCTCTGTAAAGTAACATATGCTCGGGCTTTGCTTACCAAAAAAGACTGGAAGTGCAGAGCAAATGACGACTAGGAGTGTGATTGTACTTAATGATTTTCTCGCATTGTAAACGCACCAGCTTCTGATGGATCTTTGCAGGCAAAAAAGTCATTAATTGCACTTAACGCCTGTATTCCAAAATAAATTACGCCGAGCAACAGGCGTAACTATGGTTTTTTCAAATTTCCCGTTGGAAAATCGACTTTTTTTGTGAATAATGCAGAGATAGTGCCATATTCACCCTCAAATCATCGTTTTTGCGGTTAAAATATTCCATTTTCATCAGACTTTGAAAACAATGAGTTTTTTTCAATTTTATCAATTCTTAATAAACTGCACTTAACGACTTTCTTTCTTGGGACGGCAAATATGTTGTAAATAAAAAATAAAGCCACGGCATGATGTGCTGCTAGGCTGGCGAGTAAACGACTGGGCTATCATTAAATGCTCCGATTATTTTAAAACGACTTCTTACTGCCTACGCTAATTACATCTCTATCACGCTTGCATCTACTGCCATGTACCCACACACACTCGTTATTAGTCGTGTATATAATACATACAATATATATCTAAAAGGCTGAGAACAAACGTCCTGTAGTACGGCTTTATATCTTCAATAGGCTAGTGTTACAATTTAGCTGAACTCTAATTAAACAACAACAATAACTGAAAAAAACTTTTTCTTCTATTTTTTCACGATATCTCGTTTTAGGTTCATTCATTAATTCTTATACTTCTCATAAATTTTGTAGAGGACTCAATTATTTACCAAATAAGACTTGTTCATCTGTAGATAGCGTTTTAAATTGAAAAATATTTTTTTTTTTCAACATTAATACTTTAAAAATAAAAGTATGTACAGACTTCATATTCAATTTAAAAAAAATGCAATTAAGATTATGTTGCATCAGCTCAGAAAACCAAACTTTCAGCAGGTGCTAGCCAAAAAAATTTTTTTAACAAGTAATTTTTCCTATTCAGCTGCTCGAACTGTAAGATAAAACAACTATTTTATCTTTAATGTAAAGTAACCCTTTCCTTGTCGAGTTATCTTTGTTGTTAAAGTAGAATAGTCCGATGGTTAAAGCATGAAGAAGTGATGGGAACCATTTCTGTCATCTGCAAGAAATTTTTTTAAATTGATTACAAATATAGCCTCATTATTGGGAAAAATTGTATTGCCAAACCAAGGTGTAAGCTTCAATTGTTATCAAACCAATATTAAAAATTAATCCAATTTTTTTTGCATTTCAGCTTGTAACTCTTTTCCTCTTAGCCTGATTAAAAAAAAAGATAGAAGCAAAATTTTTCGTAATAAAGATGCTCTTAACAATCGTTTTAAACAAATAAGTGTCTTTTACGATTTTTACGTAGGTACTTAAAAACTACTAATACATTAAAATTGTTATTAAAAAAAATAATTTCTTGTCTTTAAGCAACATAACATTGCAAACAAATTTTTGAATAATTGGAAGGACCTAAATTGATAAAAAATTTTAGTATGAGCAATTTTGCTTTCATAATTTATTCAATTAGACCAATAAGAAAAGCCAGAATGTAAAAGAAAAATTCTATAAATTCTCACAATTTGCTCATATTAACAATTAAAGCTGATATTTTAGTTAGACAAAAAATTTTCCCCAATACTATACTATATTTGTAAACGATTAAAACGGTTTTCTTGCAGGTCGTGAAAATTTCCTTATTTATTAT